ATTTGCTACTATTAGTTCCTAATATTCCAACATTTTTCAGTGTTAATAGCTTGTGGTTAATATCAAGCAATAATCTAATTAGTTGATCAGTGGTGTTAAGAAATTAAGCGTGGATGATTTAATGACAGGCGTTGGCCTTGTGATGAATGGTACCAATTTCAAATTTGCGAACAATACATGTAACCAAACGTACGGGTTCCGATGGGCTCCCCAGTGAGTGTTGTTTGAGTCGATATTTATATGGACTACCTGGAGGTGAAAGCCCTGAATGAATGCTCACCAGAATTCCGACCTCTGCTCTAAGTCCGATTCGTTGATGACATCTTCCTATGGTTCCAACGAAACGAGGACGAGCTGGAAAGATTCGAATGTTTCGTGAATTACATTAATTTTTAAAAATAATAATGATCGTATGTGCCTTACTACGGAAGTGGAAGTTAACCGCTGTATATCCTTTATGGACTTGCTGATTAAGCGGACGCCGTCGCTTGAATTTGACGTTTCTGTGTATCAGAAACCAACACACTCTAATCGATACCTAAACCCGGATTATTTAGGGATTATGAGGTGGTGAGAAACATAGGCGGTGAGAAACATGGTTTAGGAATCCAAGAGATTTGCAAAATTCAAAATTCCAAAAATTCAGTTACTGAAGGAGGATCCTTGGCAAGGAACTTTTGCACTCCAACTCATATTTAAAGTTGGCCAGTTCATATGGACCATTGGTAATTTTATCGTTCATACCCAAGGTATCTCAAAGTATCACGAAGTAGTTTAATGACAATGGGTTTAGTGTTTAATGCAATACTGGTAGAGCACTGGCTATTTTATTTCAAAGAAACTTGCCCAATAATTACCCTGAAGATGTGTTATATGCTGTATACAATGTTCAATGCAGAAACTACGACAAGGTGTACATTCGAAAGACCAATCAGAAATTGAACATCTAAATACAAGAGCATCTACTCGAGCTTCAACTTGGACAGGTTGACAATTCTGCCCAGCATCCTGACAGTCAGATCAATGTGTCTTTTTTGGACAATGACCAATCTAAATTAGGTCTGCTGACCAAAGAACACTTGTATATACTGGCAATGAAAACCCGGATGTGCAAGTATACGCATTTTCTGTTGTCATCAGTGAAAGCCGGGACGCAATTAATAGAATTGATACGCAAAATCGGGTCAGAATGATGAAGATCCGATTTATTTTGATGCGGACATTACACTCTGTTCATTGAAAAATTGGTGTTGTTTGCTTGGCAGACATAATTTCCTTCAGCGGTCATTTGTACTCAGTCCAGCCCCGATAATGTGACCGTCTCTGCGGTGAAACGCGTTGGATTAAACTGTTTACCATCTGCTGTATTCGGTACCTCCAATAATGAATCATTCAGACAACTATGTATATAATTATGGGTCCAGAATCAGAAACCTCAGTATTATTAATTCAATCTAAGTTGACCTTTGGAATTTTGGTAAAATGTATATAATTAAAATTGTCTGTAAGAATTCAGTGTCTGCATTTTCGTCTTCAACGATATTGGTCTAGCGGTATCTTATGCTTAACAGCTCCTAATTGAAATAATGATTGATGCATGATGAATAGACCACCGATTTTCAGGGTACAGAAAATAGTACACAGCTCAAAATGTTTTCTGTGACTTCTGATTATTAGAAAGCGTGTCATCAATATGCAAGTAACGTTAATTGATACCTTTCAATCTTGACTTCTAATCGCATCAACATTCAGAAATACGGCTGATAAAATTTCAAACAAACTTACATCACTGATTTAAGAATTGGCAGACATTACGAAGAGGCCTCGCTAGCTAAATCTGAGATGAATTATGTGATGCATTTTAATCGAAAAATTAATTAATT